CTCCCTCAGTGCCTGCTTTGAACCCTGCTCCTGTCCACTTTTAGCTTCATACCTAGACACTCCTCTTGGTCCAGAAGTATCTTGGTCTTGATTTCAGACAAATTCCCTCTAACCTGGCCCTTTTCTGAGACAACTCCCTTGCCTTGTTATATGAAAACTCTACATCAGGTTGGCTTCTACCATATGAGCCTAGACACACCGACCTCCATGCTGTGTACATCTCCAAAAGGCCTCACTCCAGCTTCATTCACTACTGCCCTTATCATTCCCTTTCCCTGAGAAATTCACTGAGTCCTCAGATGTGCTTTCATTTCCATTTCCAATTGAATTTTGTCATAAAAGCCAAACCTTGAGTCTTTGATAAATGCTGATCACATCTCACTTATGTTCTAATTTTCTGGATCCTGTCAGAGGACACAATAGTGGTTTTCCCAAACCTGGCTGGAATATCCTCTGCTTAGTCTCCTAGGTCTTCTGGTCTCTGAGCTGCCTCTTTGGTAAACCACCTATTAGAAGACAACTGGAAGTGCCATTCTTAGACTCCAGCAGAGGGCACTGTAGTTCTGGTTTTTCAAACTGGAACGTGAATGGCAAAAATGAACTGGCCAGAGCATCTGAGCCCCTCTGCCTTTTCAAATGGATAGGGCCACTGAAGTTATAGAAATATATTTCGGAAACAACGCATATTGTCTCATAACTGAGACAGAACCCCATCCCCTATCCACATGAAACGAGGGGGAAAGTACTCATGCTACTCACAGCTATATTCTGTCACAGCCTAGGAAGTGGGCCTACCCCCAAGCTGAGTGACTGTGTATGTACTGCGGCAGACAGACCACCTTTTCTGCCAGGGCTCAGTCTTTCTGCACTGATCTTCATTAGGACTGATCCAATCCACTGGTAGAGTTACCCACCAAGTTCCAGTCCTCTCTGCTCCCCGATGCTGGCCATAGGAAGCACTATACATTTCAGTAGAGCTCAGGAAGGCAGAGTTCTGCTTCCAGATCAAGGCAATGGTACCATGTCACTCACCCAACTCAAGTCTGTTCTGGTGAGCAGACACCCTTGACAAGACTCCCACTAAGCTTTACACAGGGGAGCCCATCCCAGGACTGATTCTATCACCTCAGGTTTTCCCTTGGTCCTTGGTCTTTCCTGGAAACCCTGATTATGTTATTTCAAGGGGCAGTTTAGTATGGTGGTTAAGAACATGGACTCTGGAGCCAAATTACTTGGGCTAAACTTGTGTCTGCCTGCCACGTGCTAGTTATATGACCTTGGAAAAATTACTAAACATTTCTGAGCTTCTGTTTCTCCTTTGGAAAATAATTGTACCTATATTATAGCTTTGTGCCAAATACACTATTAGCTAGTTTTACTGTTATCGCTAGAAAATCTACATACTGCACTTCACAACAGTAGTCCACAGTCAGCTATTAAGTTCTGCTGTTGTCTTGTGCCCCGTCTATTCCTCCTGTGTTCAGAATCCTGAACAAGTGCACCACTTCAAAGAAGATATTTTTGGACATGGAGCCAAAATAACTGCCCCCATATGGAAAATGTACCCTGGGGATTGGTCTGGTTCCCTGGGCTCATGCTTCTGTCCACTTCCTCCCAAAGCACTGATAATTTCCTTGTATCTGGAAAGATTAAATAAGTACAAAATAACCTTCCAAACATACCTCAGCCAACTTCAGTACATCTCAGTGCTCCAGCCAACCGCAAGGGATTAATGCCCAACATTTGATAAGATCTCCTAGACAGGAGTCATTTTTTATGTAAAACACCATAACACTTTCTCTCAAGCTGACCTTATATGAATTTCTAGTCAGAGTGATATTAGTCTGCTTGTAGCAATACCAACTCCAAGATAACTGCAAATAATATGTGTCTGATATTATCACCACTATATCCCAAGCATCTGTAACCAAAATATCCTAATCTAGATTTCTGGGAGCCACTGAGGTAGACTCATTCTAAAAATTCTTCAACATGAAAACATTGTGGCTAATCAGTCCCAGTTGCAAGAAACAGAGGCAATGGGCAAAGCAGTAGATAACTAAGATTCTGAAACCACAGAATCCCCTGTACCCTGGGCATTGGTCTGATTCCCTAGGCTCATATTTCTGTCTGTTTCCTCCCAAAGCACTGACAATTTCCTTGTATCAAGGAAGATGATAAGTACAAAATAGCCTTGCAAACATACTTCAACCAACTTCAAGGGATCTCAGTGCTCCAGTCAACCTCAAGGGATCCCAGGGAAGCCTATAATCTAATAAATCTGAGCATTAATTTGGAGGGGTAAAAGTACCCAAGTACTTTTAAACTACCCGAGATGTCCTTCACAGTTCATTCAAAGCATTAAAATGTGGTTTTATGGCAATTCCCAATTTATGGTCTAGTTCTAAAAGAAACTATTCGTGGTACCTAATATGTACTTACCAACAAAGACTATACAGAGCATGGCATTAACTGGGTGAGTGAGGAACTTCTATTGTACCACCTACCAGCAAAAGGATTGATTCATCCACCTTGCTTATAAAGAGCTCATTGCGTTCCTGTACCCAGGACATGCCCTTTCACAGTAGCTAATTCTTACTCACCTCTGTCCCCTTTCACCCCAGGTGACTTCCAAACCTTGGCAGCTTGGGGAAGATATGGGTTACCAAGAATATCTCCCAGCTTGCCAAAAACGGATGTAAGGCATGTGCCAAATGGTGCTTGATTCAGCAGGAAGGCATCCAAGTGGGTGATACTGTCCAGCACATCTCTAAGCACACAGTAAATGTACATAGGGGAAGCTGGGAGTCTGCTACTTAGATACCTTGAGATAACAGAGAACATCATCTGGTTGTACCCTTAAGGACAATTAGCCTGTCACCTAAGCCCAAGCCAATCATTGCTCTCAATCCAGGTCTTTTCCTGCCCACCAGGAATGTGCTCTTATTCTTTCTCCTACATCTATTTGTCTGCAGACATTCTGCCACCCTCACCTTGCCCAAAGTCAAATGACCAAGCTCAAATGACACTACTTCCTGGAAATGGCCCCTCATTGCTATAATCTGTGATGAAGTACAAATCCTGGTTCAGTCCAGGCTTCCAGAACTCTATATGCTAACAAAGGCATCAGTGCTGCCACCTCTCTAAGTCCTCAGCTGTACAGGGAGAGGATTCAAACCGTGTCCCACTCTGGTGGTGTGATTCTTTCAGAGATAGAATGTTAAAGGAGATTTTGATTGGAGGAAAAGAGGGAGAAAGGAGGGGCAGAGATGATGAATGAGTGGGGCCAAGCCAGGAAGGAGTGTGAAAAGCAGGAATTAGGGAAGAACTCCAGATCAAAAGGACCATCCTACCATCCCCACCCTCCACAAGAAATGAGTCAGCAATCCTCAACAAGCAATTTCCAGAGAGAATCACAGGGTCTGATCCAGTCCCTGACAAGCATCAATAACCAGGAAAGACAAAAATCTGAGGAGTAGGACAGAGCTGCTGCTCCATGAAAACAGAATGGGGACCTGAAAACATCAGATACTGCGCTGGAGCAACCTTGAGTTGGATGGGTGACATGATGCCATTGCCTTGATCCTGAGGCAGAACTCTGCCTCCTTGCACTCTGCTGAAATGTGTAATGTCATCCCCTATGACCAGCATTGGGGGAGCAGAAAGAACTGGAAGTTGGTGGGTAACTCTGCCAGCAGACAGGATCAGTCCCAGGGGAGATCAGTGTGGAAAGCCTGAGCCTTTATGTGCAAAGTGGTCTATCTGCTGTACTACAGCACTAGATAGCAGCATCTGAGATTAGCTGGAGGAGGTAGGGTAAGGGGCCTCAACCCTTTTGGCCTGGGAGACAGAATGGATAGAACAGCCAAGAGGTAAAAATCTTGGTGCCACCCTAGACAGCTCCCTTTTTTTCACCCCCCCACTCAGTCATGCCCTTCTGTATCTTCAATTTTTTCTCAGACTCATCCTCTCTTGTTCAGGAGTCTGAGATGCAAGTCAAATGCAGCCTATTTAAGCAGAACATAATGTATTTTTAATAGCACATGAAAGCTGGGAGAAATGGGAACCAAGCTTGGTGAATGGTAACCAGAAACAATGCTCAGCATCATGCTGTAGACCTGGTCTGGCACACAGACTACTGCGGTCAATGCTACGGTGGGTTTTACTGGCACCAAGGACACTGGGCCCTAAATTCCGCTGAAACAAGATGCAGCTTCATGGCTGTCCTTGTTCATCACTTAGCCAAAGACTTTGTATGACCACTGCTTTCTTGCAACCTCCACTTTGATGGAGAATCTGCAGCAAATGTGTTTGAATGTCCTAGCCACAACTCTTTGTCCACGCCCATGCTGCAAGACAGGCTGGGCAAGAAAGATCTGGTGTTTTCAGCCTCTATAGTGAGATACACATATTGCTTCATAAGAGGTGATTCTCAAGCGTAATGAATGCTAGGCACCCACTATACTAGACTACCTTTCCAGCCCCATTCCCTGTCCTTAACTTCACCCAGCACCCAGGCTCCAAGTCAAATGGAAAGCTCTCTGATTCCTCTCTAATGCTTCTTACAGACTTGCCATTCTGTTGCCTGAAATGTTCTTCTAGATTCTACTATGGCTGAAGAACTTCTTATCCTCCAGCACTCAGCTCAAACATAACTTCCCCTATTAGACCATTTCAAGTTCTATAACTATGTTAATCCCAGGAAAGGAACGTCTACCCAGATAAGGAGCATTTTTCATGGGCACTAACCCTAAGTTTCTGTTCAATAACCTGGAGGCCACTCAAAACCCAGGAGTCAGGAAAGAGCAAGAAAGTGGTGAGGGAGGCCTTATGATCCCTTCTTCCCCTCTGTGACAGCTATGGTGATTTGGCTCCTGAGAATCAAATGTGAGTGGCTAGGAGAGATTCCTGCCATGTACCCGGTTGGCATGGAGACCCGGGAATCAGAGAATCAAATAGGCATTTGCCAAGTTCTCAGAATGAGTCTTCTCTTGTTTCAGACCAGAAGGAGCCGGTTCCCACTAGGTTTCCCCCCATTATCTCAGAAGATGGGAATTACTCTGTGCACCAGAATAGTCACACAAGATACCATGCAGCTGTACGGAAAGTGTTGTTAAAGACATGTAAGTATCTTGAAGTAGACATCATGCTAGGACAAAAAAAGATATGTCTCAGTTCCTAAAGAATGGCTGGCATGTCATAGGTATGGTTATAGGGCAGTGGGTGGGGAAAAAACCAACAGGAGAGACTGAGAGGAAAGGAGAGAAAGGAGACTTGAATGGTGGCATGAACAGAAGCAGAAGATCCAGATTTGAGTCCTACTTTTGCTTGTTTTTAGACATCTCACCTTGAGTAAGTCACTTATCCTCTATTAACTTGTTTCCTCATTTGTCTAGAGAGTAAGAAAGCAAGAGAAAATGCCAAGCTTTCAGAATTGTTGGGTCAAGTTAAAAAAATGAAACAAATTAGGAAAGTGTTTTGAATATTATCATGCACTATCCCTGTGAAGGGTGATAAGACCCGGCTTTGGAATTTGAACTGAATTTAAGCTCCAAACAAGTTGTGTGACCTTGGGCAAGTTCCTTTAACCACGTAACCCTCTTTGAACGACCTGAAAACAGGAATAATACTCTTTAGCACTGTTGTGAAAGTTAAAGAGAAAATGTCTTTTAAAAGCATCTCGGCCAGGCACAGTGGCTCAAGCCTGTGATTCCAGCACTTTGGGAAGCTGAGGCGGGAGGGCAGTTTGAGCCCAGGAGTTTTGAGACCAGCCTAGTGAGACCTCATTTCTACAGAAAATTTAATTAGCCAGGCATGGGAGTATGCACCTGTAGCCCTAGCTACTCAGGAGGCTGAGACAGAAAGATTGCCTAAGTCCAGGAGGCTGACGCTGTGGTGAGCTGTGATTGTGTCAATGCACTCCAGCCTGGGTGACAGAATGAGACCCAACTCAAAAAAAAGCATCTAGGCTGGGCATGACAGCTCATGCCTGTAACTTGGGAGGCTGAAGGAGGAGGATCACTTGGGGCTAGTTCAAGACCACCTTAGGCAACATAGCAAGACCCTGTCTCTAAAACAAAAACAAAAACAAAATCGCCTAGGGCAAACTCAGATACATGCAATAACTTGGAGGAATCTCCAGGGAATTAAGCTATGTAAAAAAAGCCAGTCCCCAAAAAATCACATACTGTATGATGCCATTTATATAATATTCTTAAAATGACAAAATTATAGAAATAAAGAACACTGATTACCAAAGGCAGGGATGTGGCTATAAAATGGCCACTCCAGGATGAGTGGTAATGGAATTGTTCTGCATCAATGTTAATGTCCTGGTGTGGTCCTATACTAGAGTTCTGCATGTTACTATTGGCAGGGAATGGGAAAGGGGTACATAGGATCTCCCTGTATTATCTCTGACAACTGTATGTGAATCTATAATTATCTCCAAATTAAAATTTAATTTAAAAAACGAAAATACTCTCAGAAATCAGAACAGGTATATGCAGAAAGAAAGGTACTAAGGGTTGTTTCTAACAGCAAAAATTTTTTAAAAGTCTTATTATTAATTAGTGGGGAAACAACGAAGTCAAAAATATAACATCTCAATGAATTACTCAGGATTTTTTTTAAAATGACTATAAACACTATATAGCAATCCAGACTACTAGGCTATAATTCTAAGGTTTTTGTTTTTGTTTTTGTTTTTTTTGAGTTGGAGTCTCACTCTGTCACCCAGGCTGGAGTGCAGTGGCACGCTCCCGGCCACCGCAGCCTCGACCTGCTGGGCTCCGGCGATCCTTCCGCCTCAGCCTTCCAAGTAGCTGGAACTACAGGCGTGCACTACCATGCCCGGCTAATTTTTTGATTTATTGTAAAGATGAGGTCTTGCCAAATTGCCCAGGCAGGTCTCAAACCCGTGGGCTCAGGCAATTCACTCACCTCAGTCTCCCAAAGCGCGGGATTACAGGCTGAGCCACCGAGCCAGGCTTAATTCTAAGTTTAAAAATATACAATTTTTAGCCGGGCCCATGGTGGTTCACGCCTATAATCCCAGCTCTTTTGGAGGCTGAGGTGAGAGGACTGCCTGAGCCCATGGGTTCGAGACCAGCCTGGGCAACTTGGCAAGATCTCATCTCTACAATAAATCAAAAAGTTAGCCAGGCATGGGGGTGCGTGCCTGTAGTTCCAGCTACTTGGAAGACTGAGGCGGAAGGATTGCCTGAGCCCAGGTCTAGGCTACAGTGGCCGGGAGCATGCCACCGCCCTCCAGCCTGGGTGACAGAGTGAAACTCCAACTCAAAAAAAAAAAAAGTACACATACACACAAATTTTTAGGTCAGGTACGGTGGCTCACACTTATAATCCCAACACTTTGGGAAGCTGAGGTGAGAGGATTGCCTGAGCCCACGGGTTCGAGACCAGCCTGGGCAACTTGGTGAGACCTCATCTCAACAATAAATCAAAAAAATTAGCCAGGCATGATGGCGCATGCCTGTAGTTCCAGCTACTTGGAAATTTAAGGCAGAAAGATCACCAGAGCCCAGCAGGTTGAGGCTGAGGTGGCCATGAGTGTGCCACTGCACTCCAGCCTGTGGGACAGAGACTCCAACTAAAAAAATATATATATATACACATATACAATTTTTATTCTGGTAGAATTAGATTTATCCAAATAAATAATGAAAATATAATATATATATTTTTAAAAGCAACTAGGTAAATCTGATATTATTTCAAAAATTTAAAAACACTTAATACAATAGCTAAGCCTGGTGCAGTGGCTCATGCCTATAATCCCAGCACTTTGGGAGGCTGAGGCGACAGGATTGCCTGAGCTCAGGTGTCTGAGACCAGCCTGGGCAACTTGGCGAGACCTCGTCTCTACAATAAATTAAAAAAATAAAATTAGCCAGGCATGGTAGTGCATGCCTATAGTTCCAACTACTCACAAGGCTGAGGTGGAAGGATCGCCTGAGCCCAGGAGGTCGAGGCTGTGGTAACCGTGAGTGTGCCAACGCATTACAGCCTGGGCGACAGTGTGAGATTCATAAAAAAAAAAAAAAAAAAAGCACATGGGTTCGAGACCCACCTGGGCAGCGAGACCTCATCTCTACAATAAATCAAAAATCAGCCGGGCGTGGTAGCGCTCGCCTATAGTTCCAGCTACTTGGAAGGCTGAGGCGGAAGAATCGCCGGAGTCCAGCAGGTCAAGGCTGCGGTGGCCGGGAGTGGCCACTGCCCTCCAGTCTGGGCGACGGAGTGAGACTCCAACTCAAAAAAAAAAAGCAACATCTAGAACATGATAGGCACTTGATAAATGACAACTATTCACAATATCTAAATGTGAGGTGCTATCATTGTTAAGTTTCAGGAGTGAGCAAAGGAAGGCATGATTTCAAAGAGGAAGGAAGAGAATGAGGATGACCAAGTCCAGAAAAAAAGAAAAACAATGAATCAGTGGACCCCATCTTACACATTTCCCAATGGGTTGACCACTTATTTTTCCACCATCTTAGCACTTTGGGAAAGCTCTCCTGGAGATGGGCTACTAGCAGCAGGAAGAACCAAGCAGGTTCATCTGACCATGAAGGGTGTGAGATTCTGGAATCCGGAAGTGAAACAGGGTGTGGTGACCACATTCCCAGGACCTCTCACCACCTGGTCAGGCCCTATTGCTGGGCTGGGCTTTTGCTGCTCTGAGGCAAAAAAGTGAACAGAGAACTTGAAGAAATTCAATAATCTCCCCTTTCCCCAACTTGTTCAGTTCCCAATCAGGTTTTCAGAGTTCCCTTGACTGATGCTCAGAATTTCAGCTTCTGGCGGTCCCATGATCCAGGAGTGCGTCCAGAGGAAACCATGCCATGGATCCGGAGCCCACGCCACTGCCTCATAAAAAGCCCAATGACCAGGTTAGTCTGCAAGAAGCTGGAGGGGGAGATTAAGGAAAGTACTCTTTCCCCTCACTTAAATCCTTAGAGACTGTTTCATCTCTGCTCAGTTAGGGACTAGAAGGACAGACTTGGGTCTTATCAGAGAAAGCTGGCCTCAGAATCTGAGCAGGAATGTCATTCAGAGGAGTTAAAAGATCTGTCTGTGAATCTGTGTTTCTCCCTCTTGTATGACTTCTGAGCTGGTACAAAACAAGTGTCTATAGTACAACTGTGGAAGCCCAAGGATGTTTCTACTCCCTTCATTGCCATCTCCTCACCCCTCTAATCACTATCCATTGGCAGTGGCCTTATTTCTTCATCACTGCTATTTTTAAGGACCTCCCACCCTCCAGCCTAGCCCGGCTGAATCCGAGACCCTTCTTCTTCTTTCCAGGTTTATGGATCACTCTATTCTCAGTGACAGAAACTTCAGTCTGTATTGAGGAGGACATGGTTGCAGAAAGACAAGATGGACTGTCAGGTGGCTGACTAATGGGAGGAGGGAATTGAGAAAGCAGAGTAAACAGATTGGACTAGAAGTCGCTTATATACACTGAGGGGTGGGAGGAGCGGGAGAGTATTTCAGTGCCCAGATTCCCATGAAAGCCGATGTGTTGAGAGATTCGTGGATCTCTCAAGCCAGACCTTGGTGTGAGAGGTTTCAGAGGGTCCAAAGCACTGGAGAGACAACTGCAGGGGTCTTGACTTAATTCATGGCAGGGGTCAGAGTAAAATCTGGGAAGACACTTTGGTGCTCATGATGCTAAAGTAGTCATGTTCTCTGAAGATACTGCAGCTTCACCTTGGCAGGGAGAAAGTCACAGGAAATCCTCTGACCACAGACACAGGCCCACAGAGCCCTGGGGCAGGGAGTTGCCTCCTGCACTAGGCTCTGCCACTTCTGACCAACCCAGGGCCCAGAACAGCTGCAAAGAACAGGGAATTTTACAAAGAGTTTGATTTTATTGATATTTAAATATATTAAATATTTCACTGAAATACATGGTAGACCATCCCCCCCCCCACCAACAGTGGTTATATTATAAAACCGAAGCCCATGGCCTCCCATCCCCTGACTCCTCCACCAACTGGTGAAAAAAGGGGCAATGGTAGCCCAGGGGAAGGGCATGGCTGGCACTGTGGTATGGGGAGCCAGGATGTGGACAGGCCCCTCCCACTTGGCAAGAAGCAGAGACAAGTCACCCAAGGCTGAGGTCTTCTCACTGTGGTCTTATACCTCCACCCCTATCCGATGGCACCAAGCAGTTCCTTCTTATCCAGGGATATGGCCAGGGCCAGGGGAGTGGATTTTCTATCTGGACCAACTAGTTATTTCCTCTCCTTCTACCTTGGCTAATGGAGTGCCTGATGGCCCATTTGGTTGATGCATTAAGATCCCCCAAGGCAGGCAGTACCGAGCCAGAAACCAGGCCCAGGCAGGAAGCTGGCATCAGAAGGGGCACGAGGATGGGCAAGTAAGTTGTCTGCCCCTTCACTCCCCAAGCCCATCAACTCTGGGGACACTTTCTCCTCTGCCTCTCTAGTCACTTCCAAGACAAAGTGGTCTTCAAGCAAAATCCAGGCTAGTGCCTTTGGCTTAAAAAGATACAGACAGAGAAACCAAGGCATCAACTAATTCAGACCAGAGTCATGGAGGCTGCAAGGAAAGGGGTAGGCGTAAAAGGAAGGCAAGGATAGGAAGGGAACCTAGAGTTCAACCTCCTAACCCTTCTGCTAGCCCTTTCAGTCTTCACAGGGATTAGGGAGCCAGGAGCGTGCTAGACTCAGGCAGAATGCTGAGGAAAGCCAAGTTAAAGGTTCCCCTGCCCAATTCCCTAGTACCAGTACTGGATCCTCAGAGGGATCTCATGCTACCCCAGTCCCAAAGCATACTACACCCCAGGACACTATCTGGGACCCCAGGAAATTCCTGAGCCTCTGCCCACCAAACCCTACATGGTTCAAGTGCGTGGAGCACTGGGGCTCAAGCAGGCGCTTGGGTCCCTGCCATAGGCAAGGAGACAGTCATGCTGCACACATGGCCCCCAAACGGCACTTAGGGATTTGGCACAAAAGGACTCTTCTCTCCAGGGCCACCCTCCTTTTGCTACCACACCCCATCTCACTCCTGTGCAACCTGGGCATCTCTCTATATCCCTTGAAATAGGAAACCCTGCTTCATTCCCAGAAGACAGAGGCCCACAGGAGAGAAGCAACCTGGGTTGGAGAGCTGAGGAGCAGGAGCACAGGGACTCACACAGATCCGAAAAACAGATATGCACACAAAGACCAACATGCAAACACAGTTACACAAACATACAAGCCCTCCCCAGTGCCAGCAACTTGGGAGGACAGGTTAGGGATCAGGGTCATCTTCCTCCATGCCCTGACCTATTTCTATTTGGCAACAGAAGGGGTAGAAATGCTGCATGCCCCCTCGCCAGCAGACAGCAAGAGAGCACTGGGGGCCTGATCCTGACCCCGTCAGGGTCTTCAGATCAAAGTCTGGCACCACCCCTGCCCTGCCTGGCCTGCTCTTTGGCACCTGCAGGTGAACTTCCAGCTCCTGATCTTCTGACATTCCCATAAACATGTGTGCTCTCTGGCTGGGCATTTTCACAGTACCAGTGAGGTCAAACACCCCATCCCCTGGAGTGTGCAGGAACTGGGGCTAAATCTGAGCTGTCAGAGGTCCCTTTGTTCCCCTTTGGGGACAGATCATGGGACTAGGATTTGGCAAATAGAAACGTTCCCCTGAAATGTGGACAGAGCTGGGTCCCCAGAACATCTCCCTCCTCTGCCCTGTGCCTAAGAGGGAGACCTGGCTGGAGCGGGGAGGTGCCCAGAACCAGTGCTGGGGACGCGGGCATAGCAAAGGCAAGCATGGAATAGGCACTCCTCATGCCTGCCCCCCAGTCTTTGTACAAAATATTCCCAGGAAAAAGGGAAAAGAAGGGCCCAGCCCTGAACCTGTTGCCCAGACAGACAGGGTAGGCAATGGCAAGCTGCCATTTTAATCTCTCAGGCAGGAGGGCTCCCCTGCCTCTGTTGCTGCCCCCTCCCTGCTCCCAAAAGCTCCCAAATGGAAGGAGATGGAACAGCCCTACCGCAATTAACAAAAAAAAAGTCACTTGCATAATCCTCTTGGTATCCCCTCATTCACCAGCCTGCGGGCAGACGAGCATGGTCCAAGCACAGCCTGCTGGCGTGTTCCCTTTTGCGGTCAGCAGGGTCTGGAGGCTCAGTGGCCCCCGCCACAGCTCCACTCAGTGAGCACAGAGTCCACTCAGTGCCCACCTTGGTCCCTTCAGCTGTATTTGTTGCTGGGCTCTGCTAACTGCTGGGGCCCCCATTGAGGAAGTAGGTGGTCATCTCCCCCTTGCCCTTCACCTTGACCACCCCTCGACACTCCAGCTGGTAGCCCTTGGCAGCTAGAACCTGGTACAAGTCCGTGGTCACCTGGGGAAGTGGGAAGGGAGCCCACTTAGCCTGGAATCCTTCCTGCTGTATTTGCAGGGGCCCAGGGGTTCTCTAGTCAGGATGGCTCCCCTCCCCCAATCCTTGTCCCACCAACCACAGAACACTGCCACCCTACCCCTGTCCTAGAGGACTGCATAGAGATCTGTGGAAGCTCTGTAGACCCACTCCTCCCAGCCCCTGCTCACATCCCCCTCACCTGGATTCGGTCAGGGACCCCCGTGCTGTCCATACGGCTAGAGACATTCACTGTGTTCCCCCAGATGTCATACTGTGGCTTCCGAGCCCCAATGACGCCTGCCACGACCGGGCCCATGTTCAGCCCTGAGGTGAGAACAGCAAGAGATTGAGACTAGTGGATGTTCCAGCTTAACCCAGGGAGTCATCCCACTTCCAGGTACATTTAGAAACATGCAGAGAAAGAACAAGTCTCCAGTTGTAAAGAATGGAAGACCTGGGGACCTTAGCTTAGGAGCTCCTGAATCAAGACAGCTGTTGCTATCACAGTAATTCACCCAAAGCTCATTTTGTGCCAACCACTCTAGTAAGCATTTTACATTGTTTCCTCCTCTCAATACCTCTAAAAGGCTGTATTATTATCCCCATTGCATAGATAAGGTAACTGAAGCTTCGAGAAGTTAGACGGCCTACCAAATAAGCCAGTAAAAGGAGCAGCCAGAACTCATGCTATTAACCACTCCCATTCACCAGGTCATCTGAGAAGTATTTATTATCAGACCGGCCAGAGATAAAGGCACAGGTACTGGAGTTTAGATAAACCTGACTTCCAATCCCAGCTCTGCCATTTACTAGTTGTTTGACCTTGGGCAAGTTATTTGATCTCTCTGAGAATCAGTCTCTTCATCTATGAAAGGGGATAATTACATGAGGATTAAAATGTGCTAACAGTCAATTTCTAGGACAGTGCTTAATGATCTCTATTCTTTTTTTGAGTCGAAGTCTCACTTGTCGCCCAGACTGGAATGCGGTGGCACGATCACGGCTCACTGCACTCCTGGGTTCAGGCAGTCCTTCTGCCTCAGCCTCCAGAGTAGCTGGGACTACAGGCACAAGTCACCTCACCTGGGTAATTTTTTAACTTTTTTTATAGAGACAAGACCTCACTATGTTACCTAGGCTGGTCTTGAACTCCTAGGCTCAAGCAATCCTACTGTCTTGGCCTCCAGAGTGCTAGGATTGCACGCGTCAGACACCAAGCTTGGCCTCTGTTCTTTTTTTTTTTTTTTTTTATCTTTGAGTCCGAGTCTCACTCTGTCATCCAGGCTGGAATGCAGTGGCATGCTCATGGCCACTGCAGCCTGAAACTGTTAGACTCAGGCAGTCCTTTCCATCTCAGCCTTCCAAGCAGCAGGAACCACAAGTGTGCACCACTACACCCAGCTAATCTTTTTTTATTTATTGTAGAGAGGAGGTCTCACCAAGCTGACCAGGCTGGTCTCAAACCCCTGAGCTCAGGCAATTCTCTTGCCTCCATTTCCCAAAGTGTGGAGATTACAGTCCACCAAGCCACCAAGCCCACCTTGGCCTCTATTCTTAAGATCAGACTTGACAAAGGAGATAAGAGGGAAGGAAATTCCCCACAGGAGCCCCAGTGGGAGTCTATGATCCCATCCCCAGCCTACACCCTCAGCTTCACCCAGAAACAGCCCTGGGAAAACATGCCAAGCAGTCAGGCCTCTTACCAATCTTCATCTGGAAATTGTTGAAGGAGTGCTCATTGATGTGCTTCATCTGCTCCATAAGCCGCATGGCGTAGTCGGCAAGGGCAGTGATATGGGAGCGGCCCACCTGATCATAGGTGCTGGCATTCAGTCCTGAGGCAGCCATGTAGGTGCTACCGATTGTCTTGATCTTCTCCAGCTGCCGGAACTGCTCCTCACTGATGATCTGGACAACACAGGGGACCTGGCTATCAAGGCAAAGAGCCCAAACCCAGCTCTGCCCCAACGTTCATTACTTGCCATGCCTTGGTTCCCTTCC